ACAAAACATAGCTGTTAGGGCTACCATTGAGCTTTATGGCGCCTGAAGGAAGACCATCGGGTCCGTTACCTGGCTTCACATTTCGCAGTCTGGCTCGCGGGTTTTTATTTGGCGAGATGTCACGTCCTCCGAGTACTCCGCTGAGCGGGTAGGTTGCCACCGGCGTCGGGGCAGCTAAAAAAATAGGAACGCATAACTTAGCTAAATATTATGCAGAAAGCAACGACAAAACGATAATAATCTTGCTCCTTACCTGTCGAAGGTTTGCCCGGTGGTTTTCCTTCGGCTAGAAAAAAGAAAAAGTTGTACTTGTAACGTCAAAATTAGCGGCAATGATATTTTTCAGCTATTCATTCCACTTTTATCCTTTACTTCGATCCACTTTTATAACTTCATGTACTCGTAGGCTGTTTTTTGCTCACAACTGTAAATATTCTATAAGAACCCGTGAGACTAAGACGATTTCCTGTCTATTAACAAATGGAGATGCTTGACTGATGTCGATTTTACTAAGGAGCTGTTCTGTTGAACTTTCCGTATAGGAAGAAAGAGAGATACCGACCTTCGTTCAAACATCGAGAAAGAATAGGACATTTCGCACTCTGATGCAAATTGCGCTGCTTTAAACTGAACAACATGAGATTTCAATGTCAACATGAACTTTTTCATTTCAAATTGTCTTTGTTTCAAACCTATGAATGTAAAAGTCTTTCATGCCAGGTCTATTTTTACAACCAAAACGCGAAATGTGCTATAACTAAGGCTAAGAAATTAACTCACAACATATTAACTACACTGGAGAGGTAAGACTACAACACGAGTGTGATTGACAACTGTTCCAAGCATCATACCTCCTTTGAAGCACCTTGTCTTGACTGTGCTGATCTCATAATCACTCAAAGCTCTGCTGTAAATCTGTATACAGGACATGCGACCGCGGAAGAATCTCCTTCCACGCCTTGTTGATCCTGCTCGCGCTGGTCTGTTTGTAAGAAGCTCCATTCGACCAATGACTCTTGTTATGACTAGCTTGTCATTGACATAAATTTTCACAATACCTAATGTGTAATCATAACTGAAACCAATGTATGTCCAAGTTCTGGGCTTGAAGACCTTCTTTAGAGTTCTCACTGGGATATTTTTAGCTCCTCTTCGACTGACAATGCGCGCTTCAATTTGATTGGCTCCGATAATCTTCAACCCAACTCCTTGTCCGTTGGGGTTGTACTGGAATACAGTGCCTCCCCTCCCTTCGTTAAAAACCCACACCGAGCAGGTGATAGAACGTCTGGTGTCCAGTCTCCCATTGTTTGGAAACTCGATGTAACTGACAGGACTACCAGAGAACCGCAACGCAGTGTCCGGCTGCCTGTCGGGGCCTGGGACGATACTTACTCCCGAAAGTTTTCCTGGGAGGTTTTTGGTAGGGCTGAGGTCACGTGCACCGTTAGTGGCGTCTAGTGGGTACACAGCCACCAAGTTGCGAATAGCTGTTCGAAATGGAAAAAAAAACATTTTCGATCACTTTATTAAAGATGAAATCATTCTATCTTGAAAGCTTAGACTTGCACATTCTAGCGCAATGCGAATATTGTTTTGATATTGGATGTAGTGTATTCTATATATTTGAACAAGCAATAAGCGCACAGGACAAAAGACTTACCGGGGGTGGGTTTCGTAATTACCGGCACTGGCTTGGTTGGTGTGATTCTTCCTAAAACAGATAAAGCAGCAATTTTCATATGAGAAGGAACAAGAGTTGCAGTCGCGTATTTTCTATTAAAGAATATCCAAACTTTTTCGTTTGAAGTTTACGCGAAGTAAAATTGTTTAACGAACTTTTTACCCATTTGAAATAAAAGGAATGTGAAACAAAACATTCTGTGAAACACTTGTATTTTTTTCATCCATAGTGAGAGCTGTGGAGGCTTAAGATGTGACTGGATACCAAAACCTGTTAAGCTGGAAAAGCAAGAGTTCACGCAGCGTTTAAAACACGCCCATTGTCATGATAAGCTGTAAAACTCTCTTGTAATTAGTATTCATAATATATTACCGTGCTTAAAGTAAATAATTCCAGTTCGAACTTGACCAACCTGGCTTAAAACAGTTCTTTCTCGCAGCACGGATTTGTCGACTTGTCAAAGCCACGTTGAACAACTGTAAACATGTGATTTTCCCGCGGAAAAATCTCCTATCTCTAATGCGCGCGCCCATTCTCACAGGATAGTTAGTAGCAAGTTTTATTCTGCCAAGGTTCCTTTCAGCTGATATTCTTGAATCCACGTATAACCTTGCGTATCCAGTGTTCTTATCGTATGAAGCTGCAACCCAATTCCATGTTCGGGGCTTGACTCTGTTGGTAGCTACAGGTCTTGTGAACTTTTTGGACCTTTTCACAAAGCGAGCAAATAACACATTCGGTCGAACCATCCAGAAATGCATTCCAAACCCCTTTGGGTTGTAGTTAAAGATGGGTCCAGCCGATTCGGGATTAACATACGCAAGAATCGTCATAGAATCCTTCGTATCCAGTCGGCCGTTGTTCGGAAACTCGATGTAGCTGTCGGGACGACCTCGGAACTTGAAAGCACCTCCTGGTTGGCCGTCGGGTCCTCGGGTAGGCAATGCACCTACGATTTTCCCAGGAAGGTTTCTTGATGGACTTACGTCTCGGGGACCATATTTGGATGTTAGCGGGAAGAATGCCATTGCAGGTGGTAATGCTGAAAAAATATGGCAGGAAGAAGCTGATTTAGATCAAAAACACCCTCACCCAGTTAATCTCACCCTGGTCCGTCAATAAGTGTATTAGAAATGCCAAATACTAAGTAGTGAGTTTTTGCCTTTTTGCGTTTGTTATCTTCTTTTCAAAACATTTCCATACATTGCGTGCAAAGAGGAGTAGTATTAATATAGCCAAAAATCTGAGTTTAAGCCATGCACGCCAATGTGCTGTATTGTTGTTTAAGTCTGAGGAAATCTGACCGCAGCTTACGTTAAGGATGCAGTTGAGATTTATTCTACCCTTCAAAAGCGGGGTCTGACGGCAACATTTTCGACGGCACTGGCAAGTAGCTTTTCTTTAAACAGGCTCAATTAACAACAACAACAGTAACAACAATCCTTTATTTAAACTCGATTTGGTTTAAAGCAATAGGTTTGCTTGTGGGGTCGTGTATCTAGCTAAAAGTTTAACAAAAACGGGATATATGCAAAATATAAATACATTTTGGAGGTAAAACATATCTATTCCAAGGAACTGCTAGGTACTTTTTTCTTACCTGGAGCAGGAGCCGTAGGAGAACGTGTGGGAGTAGGTTGACCTGAGAATAAAAGAACCATGTCCGATCAGTAAAAGGTTATTACATTGGGATATTTCTCTACGAATGAGACAGTCAAATCAATTTTTTTTTTGTAAACCATTTCGTAAGATGTCATGGAAAGTCCAACCGAATCTGGTTAATTAAGCAGAGACACCTGAACATTGGCAGATTCGGTGTAGGCCTTTCAACTGGAAGATGGTTTTGCATTTAGAGTGCAAGATCTTCAGCCTGTCACTACTGGTATCATGTGATACAATCCTACAAGCAACGAACATCTAACGGTCTTGTGAATTATAGATTCAGACGTTATTGTCCAGACTCTGGGATTGCCGATTGAATGAGACTCTCTGTCAAGAATTCTTGAAAGACATGAAGATTATTACCTGGTCTGATGCAAACATTCTGTACGTTCTTTATTTGTGGCCCAGTCAAAGCATCGCTGTAAATCTGAAGACACGTCATACTGCCTCGGAAACGACGCCGAGTGCGAGTGGTCCCGCCCAGTCTGAACGGATTCTTCGTGGCAAGTCTGATCCAACCGAGTTTCTGGAAGGCAATGGGGCGAGAATTCCGCCAGATGGTCCCAGTGCCCGTCCGCTGATCATAAGTGACCGCGATGTAGTTCCATTTTCGAAGAATTACTCCTCGCCGCTTTGTTTTGACAGTTTTGGTTGGTCGTCCGTTTCGGCGTATAAAACGAACATACAGAGTATCCGGCGAACGAATGCCAAATGTCACTCCTCTTGGCTTGTACTCGAAGATCGTTCCTGGTCCGTCAGGCTTGACCCAGACTGTCACGGTTATGGAATTCTTGGTGTCCAGTTTCCCGCTGTTAGGAAACTCCACGTATCCAGTCCTGTATTTTGGGAACTTTATAGCTCCACCAGGTTGGCCGTTCGGGCCCGGAGTGGGTCGAACATTGTACAGAATTCCTGGGCTATTCCCTAATGGACCAATGTCTTTTCCGCGAGTCTTTTTGTTGAGTGGGAAAATAGCAACAGCCTTTGGAGGCTCTGGTTAGAAAAGAGACACTTTTGTGATTAGAAATGGAATGTAGTTGGTGAAGGTAAAGTTTTCAGAGTCAGGGGATTTAAAAACGTAAGGAAATGCGGCGTCAAAAATTTGTACGTCTCATTTATTTTTCCTGAGATGTCATGGTCTTTATAACTTGATCATGCTGAATTAATAACCAGTCTGTTAAGTAAGTAAAGTTGATTTCGAAGCCTGCAGTAGCTTGTAATAAATGACATTAAATGATTACTCACTTGGTCTGGTAGTAGGCTTTTTCGGTCTCTGTGGACTGCCTCCTGCCTCTGTGTTAAGAGCGAGTAAAAGAAATGAGTTAGTTAGATGTAAAGTCAGATCTTCACCCAGTTTAATGCTTTCGGAACCTGATAAAAATCAATTTTACAATCAAGCACTGCTGATGTTTTCTGAAAATTTTTAGCTTTTAAATCTTAAGTTCTTTGGAATATATCTTTATGTTATCGGTTTTATTGTACACTGTATTAAGTCTAGAAACAATACAGGGAGAGTAATACTGTTATTCTTATTTATTATATGACCGAGAAAATTACTTCATCGTGACTGGCTGAAAGCTGGCCAATTTATTGTTAATTTAGTGCAAATTAACGCGCGGGTTTTCATAATTTTCTCAGTCATCAAATAAATGATTAATGGTATGAAAACTCGAGCAATTAAGATACTACTCATGATATTTGAAAATTCGTTCAAATTGCACTTCCTTAATTTTCAGATATCACTCGTAGTGTAAACAGTTAATTGCACTGGCATTCATACGATGACCCATGCTAATTAAACTAGAATGTTCAATAAAAGCATTTCATGTTGGGGTAAAGAATACTGACTATAGGCCTAATTTTTCCGTTGAACACACAGCTATTGTAGATCTTAAAACATACCTGCGCATGCCTTGACCTTCACTCGTTTGACAATAGTCCCCAGGCTTCTAAAGTTGGTCTCGTACGCGTGTTGTGGATCTTTAGCTATGGTAAGGACTTCACTGCGAATAGCACCGGGCATCACGCCAATACTGAAGATATTCACTCCCATAGCAACGAGCTGTTGTACTGGACCAAGCACTTTGTCTAAAGACTTCCCCACCGTAAGGAGTATTAACGTTTTCTTGCCCTTGCTGGCAATAAAGAGGCGTTTTAGTGCAAGTTCTAATGCCTTCCCAGTCTTCCTAGCTCCACCAACTGGTTGTAACAGTTGAATAACGCTTTTTATCTTTCTTGGGCTGTTGTACTGACCAAAGCTTAACTTCACTCCTGGACTGTACGAGTTTACAACTAAACCAATCCGGACATCTTGACTAGAGATGGTAAAGGAATCCACCAGTTCTAAGAAGAATTTCTTAATACTGTTGAAATTTCTTTTGACACCACCGGCGATGTCGATCACGAAAGCAATATCCACCTTTGCTTTGCACACTGTATAACAGAATAACATTGTCAAAGGGTTATTGTAGGCTTATTATAGTACGTGCAGCAGGTGAAAGACCATCGCCTTGGCAAAACATAGAAAGACTCAACTTCTATCCCGCTGCTAAAAAAAAGTTTAGGCCCAGGTAGAAACGTCAGACTTCCCATGAGACGAACCAAATTGCAATTTGAGTCGATTTGAACTTCAGACGGATAGAACGTGCAAGTCGATCTAAATTCAGTCAACGAACTTAGTTGAGTCAAACGTAGAACTTATCATGTTTAGTTCGTCTCAAGTGAAGTTCCACGTTTGACCAGGGCCTTACTCCCAGATCACGGAAAGTTACTTTTAACCATATGTTACCTTGGGTATAGAAGAAGAGATCTTTATTTACAGAATGTTTAAATAAATGCATACCAGATAGTGACATACATTATCCGACCTTCAAAAATCTCAAGAACAAACGTAATTTCCAAGCATGCACTACGTATAAACCCAACAGTTGGAGAACATATATACATACATACATTTTATTGTGTTTTGAAATTATAAGTACAATTATAACATGCCCTTGGGTAGCTGAGCTAATCTAGGCGGGTCGTGCGGTCACACATCCAGAGTGCATTTCTCTAGAACTATAATACACATCATGTATAATTCATCGCTATTGTCGCAGATAATTTTTAGTGCGTTTATTCTCAAAGTCGGTAACCGAGTTGCCATTATAGTTAAACGTGCAACTGTTACGTTGGTAGGAACTTAACAAACAGCAATTTCAGGGGTCAGCCACATGTAATGTTAGTTATCTAAAACAAAAAAAAGTGTTAGAACACTTAAAAGTGCTTATAGCGTCACATACCTTTACTGGGTGATGTTGTAGCAGCGGGGTTTGTAGTGGGACCTGATGGTCCGACTGGCTTCGTGGGGACAGTTGTTGGTTTTCGTACAACGGTAAAACCTTAATCATAAAGAAAGTGCCTTATTACAATAGAATCTATTAAATGCGGTTAAATTGAGTTCAGTTTTACAGGACAAAAGGATACAAGATCTGACCAATGCTTTGTTGAAATCTGTAATGACAGCACTTGGTAAAGGAACAGACTATTGAGCGTTAGATTACCTGGTGGAATCGTGACGCACGGTTTTCCAGTTGTTGGTGTGACAGCTCCAGGTTTTGTCGGACCACTTTTCGGTGTTGTGGTTGCTCCTGGCACTCCTGGGCGCATAACACATCCCGGCCCTCCGGGTCCGCCAGGTCCGCCGGGACCTCCGGGCCCACCAGGTCCACCGGGTCCTCCTGGACCACCCGGCTTACCGGGTGGAGATGTTTTGGGACCTCCGGGACCACCAGGACCTCCAGGACCTCCAGGGCCTCCAGGACCACCGGGTCCCCCTGGTTTTCCTGGGGGAGCAGTTGTAGGGCCATTTGGTCCCCCTGGCCCACCGGATCCGCCGGGACCTCCTGGACCTCCGGGGCCTCCTGGACCTCCGGGTCCCCCAGGCCCACCTGGACCACCGGGTGTTCCTGGGGGTTTAGTAGTAGTTTTGCCTGGTTTCCCGGGTTTTCCTGGTTTCTTGGTTGGACCGCCTGGACCTCCGGGTCCTCCCGGACCTCCCGGCCCACCTGGACCTCCGGGTCCACCTGGACCACCGGGTCCTCCGGGTCCTCCGGGTCCTCCTGGACTGCCGGGTTTTCCTGGTCGCTTTGTTGTTGGTCCTCCTGGTCCTCCTGGTCCTCCGGGCCCACCAGGTCCTCCGGGTCCGCCTGGTTTCCCTGAGAGAGAAAATCACACATCAGCAATACTAGAGGCTATATCGGGCTCCTGACAATAGTTAGTTTAATTTTTACCTGCCCGGCTGTGTTAGTTTCTGTGTTTCTGTATGTAGAATAATTGTTCTTTTCTACTTGTATTGATAAACAACTTTTTTAGTTAATTTGTGAAATTTTGTGAAATTATGTAATTTTGTTATAATATACCCGAGAAATGTTTTCTCAGATCCCCAAATACAGAGCAAAACTATTTTGAGTCTATTATAGCTACTTGAGGAAGTTTGCGCTGAGTGCTGCCAATTGATGTTTTTCTAGGTTTTCTGGAAACTATACAGAGCCTACCGCGTAAATGCACGTGACTACAAGTCTTTGCACGTGACTTATCATATCAGGTGAGTTCTCATTCTGAGACGCAGAAAAGATTATTTTCGTCGTTTCCTTTGGAACAAAATTGGCCATGCATGGGAATACTTTTTCAGTTTGCGGTCATCGACCAGTGTCGACTGCTTTCGCTTAAAAATTAGGTTAGTTTGTTAAGATTATCCGGAACATTTGGAAAAAAAGTATTTTCATTTAAACGGTATGACTTTGTTTGCCAAAACGTGTCAGTTTAAAAACGTTTGTATTTCGAAGACAAGTAAAAACACTCGTTAGAAATATCTTAAGGGTAAAACCAAATTAATCATGCATTCTGGCCAATCACAAAGACACGGTAATCAACTGAGCCAATGAAACTCTAAGCAAACATATGTAGTTGACTTGAACCACTGGGAAACGTGTGAGAGAGATACGTTTGGTTTTGGTTTTATTTCTGACTGGATGACAACGTAAGATTTGTATAAGCCAAATAAAAAAAAACGAGATTTTTATAAAACATTCACGTAGACAGTGGCACACAAACCAAAGCAAATGTGAGTTACTTTCCACACTCAACTTAAATCTGTTCTATGTGATAAAATGCAGATGCAGTCACATTACTTGAATTACCATCAAGGCAGAGGGGAAAGAATAATGAAAAATTTACAGTTAGTATTTTGACACATTTCTCGGCTATAATGCCTTATTATTCTTTCTAACCTGGTTTTGGTGTCTTGGGTGTTTTAGGAGTAGTCTTAGCTGGCCCTCCTGGTCCACCAGGTCCTCCTGGCCCGCCCGGTCCTCCCGGTCCGCCCGGACCTCCAGGCCCGCCGGGATTTCCAGGCGCATACTTGGTCGGTTTTGTAATAGTACCGGGAGGTTTTGTCTTTGGTCCTCCAGGTCCACCGGGGCCACCGGGTCCTCCCGGCCCACCAGGTCCTCCGGGCCCTCCGGGACCTCCTGGCCCTCCCGGTGATCCTGGAGTCTTGGTAGGTTTGGTTGGTTTCCCTGGAGGTCGTTTTGTTGTCTTGGGCCCACCTGGTCCTCCTGGTCCACCCGGTCCTCCTGGGCCACCTGGGCCTCCTGGACCTCCGGGTCCCCCTGGACCTCCAGGTCCCCCCGGACCTCCTGGTCGTCCAGGCTTTTTAGTTGGCTTCGTCGTGGGTGTAGTTCTTCCTGGTTTTGGTCTTTTTGTAGTCGGACCTCCAGGCCCTCCAGGTCCGCCGGGTCCTCCAGGGCCTCCGGGGCCTCCTGGTCCCCCAGGTCCTCCTGGGCCACCCGGTTTACCGGGTGGTGGTTTTGTAGTAGGTCCTCCCGGGCCACCGGGGCCTCCTGGTGATCCCGGTTTTTTTGTGGTGGGACCACCGGGTCCTCCTGGACCTCCTGGACCTCCCGGTCCTCCAGGCCCTCCCGGACCCCCCGGACCTCCGGGGCCGCCTAAATAATGAACATTCCTATGAATACTTTCTGCAGATAAAGTGTGGCCTTTTCTGAGCCAATATAACACAAAAATCGTAGCGTGAAGCTACCTAGCAAATCGTAAGTTTGTGTTAATAGCTTAACAATACTAAAAGAGTAAAGACAAGATAATTATCTTAAACGGCCGAGACGCGAACTCTGACCATTGAATCCAGAGTGCAACACACAGCGAACTAAAGTTTAGAGACAGCATTATTAAAAAATCTTTTTGGGTAGATTTCAGGATCATTTTCGAACTTTTTTTTCTGGTATGGGTCATGCAACAACTGCCTGAACTGAAGACTTATTCCTAATACTCTTCACTCCCACGGTCTCAGAGACCTCTTGTTCTTGCATGCCATAATGTATGCCTTTGACGTCTTTTGTCACCCACATGATTATCAGATCTTTCTCATTCCTTTCTTACCTGGAGTTCCTGGTGTTTTTGTTGTCGGTCCTCCAGGGCCGTTAGGACCTCCCGGTCCTCCCGGTCCACCGGGTCCACCTGGTCCCCCTGGTTTTCCTGGTAGTCCAGTTGTTGGTCCACCTGGACCTCCCGGCCCGCCAGGTCCCCCCGGTCCCCCAGGTCCTCCGGGTTTCCCAGGATGTTTAGTCGGCGTGGTTGGTCCAGTCGGTCCTCCTGGTCCTCCTGGTCCCCCCGGGCCCCCGGGTCCGCCAGGTCCACCCGGACCTCCCGGACCTTCTGGCTTACCCGGTTTCTTTGTCGCTGGCGATGTTGGTTGCCCCGCTGGTGGTCCGCCAGGTCCACCTTAAATAAATGAATCAACAGTTGCTCTGCCATTCTCAAGCTCCAAATGCCGGTTACCGTGCAATCCCCTCAACCCCACATCAAAGCCCTAACTGATTATAGAGTATTGCCTCAAGTGCTGTCACCCCTAGCCTTGATGTAAGAATAAATTAAGTGAAGCAAATTCCTATTACGTTTCTTAACTTTCTCAGAGTCATTTTTCCTGGTACAAACATCGAGTTAAGAGTTACAAACAGAGATTATATTAATGATATGAAATCACTGGGTTTCTGTTGATGGATGCACATGTTGAACGAGCCGTATTCCCTCACATCACATTATTTTGCAAGGCTAATGTACTTGTTAGAGGTAAGTCTCGCTAGGACAGTAAAACCATTATGTTCATTATAAACAACCAGAAACAATGTCGCAAGAATAGTACATTTCTTCGACTTTGGCGAACTCTATTGTAATTATCTCGGAGTCATGTGTAGGACTCCCAGCTCATGGACTGAAGTTAATGTTCCATAGTTCTCATCAAATCTTAAAACAAATATGAACCATACCTGGCCCTCCTGGTCCACCGGGACCTCCAGGCCCGCCCGGACCACCGGGCCCACCGGGCCCTCCGGGACCTGCAGGTCCCCCAGGACCTCCCGGACCTCCTGGGCCTCCTGGTCTGCCTGGTCGCTTTGTTGGCTTGGTTGGTTTAGTTGGTACACCAGGCTTAGGAGTTTTGGGTCCACCGGGTCCACCGGGTCCTCCTGGACCCCCAGGGCCACCTGGGCCTCCGGGCCCGCCGGGTCCTCCAGGTCCTCCTGGGTATGGTGGTCGACGTTTTGTTGGAGTTGTTGGTTTGGTTGGTACACCCGGCTTTGCAGTCGTAGGTCCGCCCGGTCCACCTGGACCCCCCGGACCGTTTGGTCCCCCTGATGTACAGAAATGAAATGACAATAACGTTTATAATCCATCAAATATTTTCGTTCGCGCGATTGGTCTAAGCACGTCACGTGACCGAATATTCCCCAGGTAAAACTGGGGAATATCCGAGGATATTCCTCAATTTCAAAACCGCGCGTGTTGCGAAAAATATGTGAAGGATAATAAACACAATAGCCTCCATTTGGCAGGAAAATATGCTCGGATATTTGTCCTTGGACATTATCCGTCCCTGGAAGCTCACAGTTTTCCTGGAGTTATGCTCTCGGAAAACTGTTCGCTTCTCGGAACAGATAATGTGCGCGGACAAATACCCATATCCGAGCATATTTTCGCGCCAAATGGAGGCTATTGTTTATATAACTCACAACTTGTCGACATGACACCATCATCATCATATACTTTGTTTCCTCTCGAATTTTTAAGTAGCTAAAATTAGCTAATATCTTCGAGAACATAAATATAACAAAATACAATACTTATACAATAAATATGCTAAAAATTATGAATGAGCTGAACTATGTACATAATAAAATTAGGGACAAGTTGCAATGCTACTGAAAAGAGTTAAAGTCCGCAAAAGTAGAAGTTCAAAGCGAATCCGGAAAGTTTCGTAATTTAGCAGCTAAATATGAAAAGGAATGCAGGCCGTAAGTTGTTGTTTTCGCATCAGGAAGAGACAATATAATTACCGCGTAAACTGTAGGTTGTTGAGTGCAGAGCAAACATATTACTTAAATATCTTGGATAGCTATAGTATAACTAAAAAATTTTGAAGGCGTCTAATATACAGAGGTTTTGAATTAATTTTATCCAGTAAATTACCATAAGGCGAATTACTGTCCTTAAGTATGAATCTAAGAATGCGCTTGTTAAGAATGCGCTTGTTAATTTTATCCAGTAAATTACCATAGGGCGAGTTATAGTCCTTACGTATGAATCTAAGAATACGCTTGTTAAGAATGTCCATTTTTCAGCATTAGGAGCACCCCCAAAATGCTATATGGACGAACAGTAATTTAAAGTGTGGCAAGATGAAAGCTTTATACAATCTTAAGAACGTGTCTCTAGAAATTAAATTACGAAATCTAAGCCATGATTACGTTATACTGGTTGTTTATCTTCTTGTAGATATTAAATATACAATTATCAAAAGAAAGCAAGTACTGCTGATAAATAGTTCAAAGATCGGTAATCAGCCTAATGTACAACAACTTTAGTATTTCTTGAATCTTAAAATTTTCTATATGAACATTACTTTGTGTTCCGAGGATTAAAACAGGCTCCTGGACTAAACAGAGGTCAACGCAAGTTGACCTCTGAGTGCCATTTTCTCTGCAAACAAAGGCCGTGAAACGTCAGCCTGTTATTGTACAAACAATTCTATCCAAAGGTTCTATCAGAAACGTAAGTTTAGTTTAAACAAACCCTAGAGATGTGACAATAGCCTTATTTGAAAAAAGAACATTGAACATGGGTAAGCAAATGCACTCAGAATAATTTATTGCCTGTTTAGGAACTACATTTTGTTATTTTTGAGGTTATGAGTAAAGATGTATTGTGCTTGAAATGTACTTTGTTTGTTAAGGAGAAATTTGGTCTTTAAGGTATTTCCCAATTGCCTAGTTTATACGATCTCCTTTTCCCTAAATTTCTAAAAAATAATCGAGCTGATAACAGGTGGAAACGTGTCTAAACAACATTGCTGGGAGAGACATGACGTACCTGGTCCTCCCGGACCACCGGGTCCACCGGGGCCGTCGGGGCCTCCTGGTCCCCCTGGGGTTCCCGGGTTTCTTGTTGTCGGTTTTTTCGTCGGTACACCTGGTCTTGGTGTTGTTGTTTTAGGACCATTTGGACCGCCTGGTCCCCCGGGACCTCCTGGGCCGCCCGGACCACCGGGTCCTCCGGGTCCTCCAGGACCACCCGGTTTTCCGGGCCCACCTGGTTTTCCGGGACGCTTGGTTGTGGGTCCACCGGGCCCTCCTGGCCCTCCAGGGCCCCCGGGTCCTCCTGGTGTACCTGGCTTCTTTGTTGTAGGACCGTAAGGACCACCGGGACCTCCTGGGCCACCCGGACCTCCGGGTCCTGAAACATAATAACAACGCTTCTCTCGTTACTGGAAGTTCTGTTCATGTGGGTTTCCACTGTCGCGTAATTTTACGTGTCAAAGAATTCAAACATAATTCAATATTTTTTACAGACAAAGGCCGTCCTTATTTTTGTGTACAAAAACGACAGCATTAGGAATCCCTTTTTATTATTTAACGGGAACACGGAGGGTGTTTACTTAGCTTAACTCAGTCGATAACCCAGGATCGTTCGTGGGGAAATCTTCCGACTCGAAAACTATTACAGCGTAAGGTAAAGTCGACGTCAGGCCAAGTGGTCCATATCGCCTGAGCTTTTCCTGGTTTCAGTAGCATGAAGTGACTAGCAGTGTTTTACTACCCCCGGAGCTAGCACACTCAGGGGGTCACCCCCCAGCATGTTCGTTGGTACCCATTTACACACCCGGGTAGAAAGAGGCACTGTGAGAGTTCAGTGTCTTACTGAAGAACACAACCTGATGGCTCCCGCCAGGGCTCGAACCCGGACCCGATCCGGAGTTCGGCGGGCAAACCATTCGGCCACGTCGCCTCCTACAATGGTGCTGATGCTTAATTCAGTCAAAATATGTCTAAGTCGTATCCAAATGGCAAAACAGCAACAACGAGAACTAGCAAAATGTGATGCCACACCTCGCATGCCCCGTCAAATTAAATCCGGAATTCTCAAGTTAATTATTAGAAGAGGCTAAAACAACTTAAGCATTGTCTTTATTTTTGTTAGCTTCCAGGAAGAAGACTATTAGAGTGTCGTTTCAATAGGACAGCTTAGTTTTGACTGCCACTCGTATTGCGGGCGCAGCCTCCGTATGCAAGGTGGGTAGAAGAAAGAAAACGAGAAAATTGCATAGAGAAATTGGATAAATCAAGAAAAAGCGTCAAATACCATTGACAAGGAAATCCAGGATGTTAAGCAAATGTAAAGTGTTCTGATACGTTACCTCCAGGTCCTCCTGGTCCCCCGGGACCTCCTGGGCCGCCCGGACCACCGGGTCCTCCAGGTCCTCCAGGACCATTCGGTCCACCGGGTCCACCCGGCTTACCAGGCGGGTTTTTGGTTGGCTTGGTCTTCTTGGTTGGCACTCTTGAAGGTTTTGTCGTGGGGCCTCCCGGACCCCCGGGTCCTCCTGGACCACCCGGTCCTCCAGGTCCTCCTGGTCCCCCCGGTCCTCCGGGACCTCCAGGACCGCCTGGTCCCCCTGGGCCCCCTGGTCCACCGGGTCCACTGGGACCTCCCGGACCACCCGGTGAACCCGGTTTCTTCGTTGGCTTGGTTGGTTTTGTCGTTTTTCCAGGACGAGGTGTCGAAGGCCCTCCCGGTCCCCCCGGACCACCCGGACCTCCCGGACCTCCCGGACCACCGGGTCCTCCTGGCCCACCGGGACCGCCTGGCCCACTTGGACCTCCGGGAGTTCCTGGTTTCTTTGTGGGTTTAGTTGGTTTGGTAGTTTTTCCTGGAACAGGTGTGGTCTTTCCACCGGGTCCACCAGGGCCTCCTGGACCTCCAGGACCCCCAGGGCCACCCGGGCCGCCGGGTCCTCCGGGGCCACCAGGTCCCCCAGGCCCACCGGGTGTTCCCGGAGCATGTTTAGTTGGTGTCGTAGGTCGTGTAGATTTACCTGCAAGAAAAAATGTTGAGTGGAGTGAATACAATTCTTCTCTTCATAAGCTACAGGCGCGACATTCAACTGTGACAATTAAGCATCTACTGAAGTAGTAAATTTCACGCTGTATTGTGCAAATAGGCTAATAATAATAGTAATAATAATAATAATAATAATATTTCAAAAGGGAGCACACTTAAGTTAAAAGTTTAAAAGCTCTTATTAGAGTTCAGCTAAGTAGCGAGGCTTAGAGGAACAAACAAGAAAAAAGAACAAACACGCTCATTCAATTTCCTTTGTTTGTGTCCTCTAGGTTTCGCTACCAAACAAAATTTTAATATGTATCTAAAACAGTTTATTAATAGTACAATGCATAAGGACTTACCTCATGACCAATGTAACTAAACTGGCCAGACCTCTTTTATTTCAAAGGTTTACTTCTAACGCTTACCTGGCCTCTTGGTTGTTGGTCCGCCTGGTCCCCCCGGGCCACCGGGACCGCCTGGACCTCCTGGACCACCGGGGCCTCCAGGTTTGCCTGGGGGCTTTGTTTTTGTTCCCGGTTTAGGAGTTGTTTTTGGTCCCCCGGGTCCACCCGGGCCACCTGGACCTCCTGGACCTCCCGGTCCACCCGGTCCACCAGGTCCCCCAGGTCCACTCGGACCTCCTGGCCCACCAGGACCTCCCGGCCCTCCTGGACCGCCGGGGTTTCCTTTTGAAGCAAAAAAATTGCTCGATGTCATGTCGATAGTACAATTGTATTGCCAAAGCTGGACACTAAGGCAATTCAAACTTTTTAACATGATTTATTCCGTACCTGGTGGATTTTTAGTTGGTTTTGTTGTTTGACCAGGGCGAGATCCCCCGGGTCCTCCTGGGCCACCTGGTCCACCGGGGCCTCCTGGACCACCCGGACCTCCGGGTCCACCGGGGCTTCCAGGGCCTCCTGGAACTCCGGGCTTCTTTGTTGTCTTTGACACTGCAAAGAATTTTTTGAAAATTATGTCACTTTCTGAGGCTACTTTTAAATCGAATACTTTAATAAGAAATACACTAGTTGAACAAACCTGGAGTTGTTGGACCCACGGGTTTGGTTGGTCCACACACGCATGGCTGCAGTTTAGAAACTGAAAGAGTGCCACCCACACCTGAAAAGAAACAATGTAAAAAAAAACAAAAACAGTAACGACAGCATCCTTACTCATCTTAATCAGTGGCTTTACATTTAAGGCTTCCACAGAATGATGTTGCTAATTAGTTGTCATCGTGATCCTTTTGTTTCTAAATAATTTTCCTGGAAGAGAAATGTCTGTGCCTGAAGCCTTTTAATCTGCACCGAATTTTCTCTTTGCAGTTTAGTAGCTAAATATCTCAAAAACTACTTTTTCACGTGACAATGTTGAAGTCATCACAGACCATGAAATTTTCTTTGCTTTTCTGCACACAGTTCAGAAGTTACAGCACAAGCTAAAAGTTCTAAAAACGTGTGAAGTCTTTAACTGAATCTCTGCAGGCAGAACACTTACTCAAGCATATTGCTTTCTTGAGATCGTTGGTGATGTACTGCAACTGCTTAAAATCCGACGTGAAAACATGAGTCTTGTCGGGATCAGTTGCCATAGAATCAAGTTCCCTTGCGTTGAAGTACCTTCCCACCCCTACTGAGAAGATCGTGACTCCGCGGGCTCTCAGTTGCTTGGAAATAGTGTGCACGTCATCAAGCGAGCGGCCATCAGTGATAACTACCGCAACTTTGTTAGATCGGGTGCGTCGACTTCTCACGAAAAGCCTCCTATAAGCGTAGCTAAGAGCGCGCCCTGTTCTTGCACCAGTCCGAGGATAGTAAATGGCTCGATTGAGCCCAGTGAACAACCGCGTGTTACTCCGGTATCTGAAATGTTCAAAATTAATTGTTTAAGAGCTGCTTGTTGAATGTGGCTTACAGCTAATTTAGATTTCCAGAACCAGGCAGCAAGTCAAACACAAATAAACTTCGTTAACACTGGAGACCGAGTGGGTATGGACGAAGTACGTATTTCAGTGGTATAGTTTTAAAACAAGCCCAATATAATGATAGACGTTAATCGCTAAGTGAATCGGTTCATTATGCGAAGTCCATGTTCCTATTACGCTGGTGACAGAGATTGTGGCCTCTTTGGGAATATATGGGCTTTTCGTAATGACCACGTTTCTGCTGAGAAGTAAAAACAAGCGCTGAAAGTTTTTTGCTTTCCGCTAGTTCTAAGCCCCTCTTCATTCAAAAATATACACTACGAAATAATTTTGCTCCGGACTAACCTGCGGAAATTGAAGATCATTTTCGGTCTTGTTCCGTAGACTATCAAGGACACTCGCGTGTTTCTTCGTGAGATTGCGAAGCCCATCGTGAGACCTCGGACAAAGTCGATAATCCTTCGGAAGTTTCCGACGCCGTATCTTTCAACACTTGAAGAGCCATCGATCAATAAAGCTAGGTCGATTTTTGCACTACAAGCTGACGAGAAAAGAGAATGCGAAAAAAGGAGGAAAAAAGGTAAGAATGTACACTTTCTTTTTGAGATTCCAGTTTTTAAATCCGGTTTTGAAGTTAGCTATGCGATGTTCTGTCTTAAGATAAATAAATTTCCTCTTACTCATTATTTCAAATTTTTTGACTATTTGCAAGTTGTAAGATAACAGGTAACAAGCATTTCAGCACACTTTCACGTTTAATAAGGTTTATGTTAATGCTGAATCAATCATATTTATTACCTTGTGCTTTTGTTGGCTTGGCTGTAGAAGAAAAGAAAAAAAATATTAGCGTTTCGAAAGATGTGGCAACTCCAGTCAAATGTTAGCCTGTTGTTTTGCTTTACGCTGTAAAAATGGTGTCTTTTAAAGTGAGCATTACTAAATGTTACAGTTCAAAGACGCTGAAACAGTGCGAAAAAAAATAATCAAATTAAAAAAATTATTTTAATATGTTTCCTTGACTAGGAAGTTAAACCCTAAAGCTTCGTTTATTAACTCAGTTACTTGGCTCCGACAACGAAGGCCTTCACAAAGCAAGAAATTGACTTGTAGATTTGTTATCTATTTTACTCAAGAAATTGTATCATACATGATCAAGCTTAGCCTCTGCAAGTTACATTATCAAATGCATTAATGATACTCAGGTCACGTGTTACTCACGACATGGGGGACACATCCCTGGAAGCACTGTGGGTGAAACGGCAAATGATTGTTCAGAGGGGTTATTAATGTCATCCTTTAGCATGGTGTTAGCATTCTCAGAGTGTCCCTCCTCCTTCGATTCATCCTCATCGTCATCATTCTGTTCATCTTCATCATCTTCGTCCTCTTCATCGTCATCATCATCTTCATCATTGTCGTCGTTATGGTTTCCCTCTTCCTCGACTTTCCGGTCATCTTCTCTCTCTTGCTCAACAGCTTCTTTCTCGATTTCGTCCTTGTAATCTGGTTCATCAGAAGATGTTTGTTCTTTCTTTTGTGATTCTTTGTTGTCATCCTCCTCAGAAGAATCTTCCTTGTCGTCTTCGTGTTTGGTAGAACTGTTATAGTACTTTTCTTCATTTTGCTTAGAGCTGTACCCTGCAAAGCTTTGTTCTGTTCCATTATATTCCGCGAACTCGTCCGCATCTGAAATTAAATCCTTTGTTTGTGGCAAGGCACCCGAGTTTCCCGTGTGATTCCCAGTGGACACCTTCCTTGTGGAAGCATGCTCCGCTGTTGGTCGAGCTTTCACTGGAATGGCCTTGCCGTCTTTGGCAGGTGGTGCAGTCATTACGTACTGGGGTGGAGTGGGGACTACTTGAGGCTGAAAGCTTGGTGCAGCTGGAGACTGGTAATTAGGATATCCGGGATAATTGACGTAACCCTGGTAATCCTTGTAACCACTGTTGTTTGGAACACACGGTGGTTTACCTGGAAAGGAACAGAAATATCATGGTATTTATGTCATAAACCTGGTATTTCGTTCTACAGGCAAGTGCCTGGAACGGATACTTGTGGGTGAGTAGTTTTTATACATAGTAATAAAGTACTACATTCTGTGATACTTAGTATCAAACTTCGCAAATGAGTGGATTTTGTGTAGAGGAGTACAGTAAATATCATCATTTCATGTATTACTGTGGGACTAACCTGGGCAGATCATATTTGATGGACAGCACTGTAGATTGGAATAAGCGTACTGCTGTCCTGGAAATCCCCAAGCTACAGTATAATATACATGATAAGTAATCAATTAAAGGTAAAAGGAAGTCGATTTTTATACCAATTCACTAGCAAAGAACTCTGTAAAGAAAAATATCCAAAAGCACTATTCCTTGTTGATACCTGAATACATCATGAATAATGATGATATCTGTATGTTAAACTAGATATAAGACATCTTCTCTATATATTAAGATAAATTGTCATGCTGTTGACAGTACTTTTTTTATGTAAAGGTGGACTTCCTTAACTTATATATTTATACAAGCATCAAAGTATTTGTAAATATATTTATTGTGTGGCAAAATGTTTATTCACTGCAACTGAAACTACATCAACTTCGTACCCAAATTTTGTCTTTTCACGGGCTGCTCATCTTCGTCTTCGTCCTCGTCACCTTTCACCCGTTCATCATCATCATCATCATCATCATCATCATCTTCTTCTTCTTCATCTCTCCGGATGCTTCCACTGCCACTTTCATTCGGGCTTGTTGTTGTTGTTGTTGTTGTTGTTGTTGTTGATGATGATGTTGCTGTTCTTGTTTTGTTTTCTTGTTCTTTTCCAACAATTTTCCTTTGATTGCTTTGGTCAGCCTCGACTGCATGTTCTCCTTCTGGTTTGCTATCATTTTCCTCTTTGTTTATCGTATGGCTATCATCTGCTTGAAAAGAAGATTCCCCTGAGCCTTCTTGTATCACCTCGTTGTTACCGGCCGCTTTTGTATCAGACGTGTCTGCATAATTTGCTGGCTCATCTTTCTCTTCCATGAAGTCATTAGCACGGTCTTCCAACCTTTGGTCGGTTGTTTCATTGCCATAAAAGTTGGTTTCGCTATTGGTAACATTGTTGACATTGCTGTTGACATCACTGTTGGTAACATTGTTGGTATCAATGTTTGCATCACTGTTGACTTCACTGTCGGTAACAATGTTGGCATCACTGTTTACTTCACTGTTGACATCACTGTTGGTAACACTACCTGTAACAATGCTTTCATCACTGTTGACATCACTGTTGGCTTCACTGTTGACCTCACTGTTGGCTTCACTGTTGACATCACTGTTGGTATCACTGTTGACATCGCTGTTAATATCACTGTTGACACCGCTGTTGTCGTCACTCTGCGGGTATTCGTAGCTGTTACTAGTATCACTGTTAGCATATTCATAGCTGTTGTTGGTGACCCTTTGATCGTTTGTATCTGGGGAGGTGTTCAGGTCAACAGATTGTACATTACTATCGGACAGCTCATCCACGGGACCTGAAATGTCATTTGGAGTGTACTCAGTGACGTCACTACTCTGCTGCTCGTTGTCAGCATCATTTAAGTCTCGTTTTTGACGGATATTTGACGCGTAATCCGGCAGATAAACTAATTTTGACTCATTGGCTAAAATTTCAGCTTCTCTCTTCTCCAAAAATGAAGGAGGTGTATCTTTCACCATACTCGGCGAGTAAAACTCTGGTCCATAATTGTCTTGCGTGTACCATTCTTGGGCAATAGAATGGTTTACTACAAGAAGCAACAGCGTGCTTCTTAATAGTAACGATAGGATCATCTCAATCCTGAAAAACAGCAGTAGCAGTTAGCATCGACCAGTGGCTTTCTCCCAGAGATTCCAAGAGATTCCATGACATTACCCTTAATTTTAGGGAAAAAGCCATATTTACCCTTGGTAACGTTTACATTGTGAAGGCTAAAGCTATAAATACTATGGCAATCTACATACAACATGCGAAGAAATATGAAGTGATTGTCGGGTTGATGGGGGAAACAAGTTTTAAACTCAGCTTTTAAAGTGAACGTTCTCGGCCGCTGAAATGATAAAAGAACCTACAATAGTTATGATTTTCTGTTTGATAGTCATGTTGATTCGGGTGCTAGGTTTATCCCAAAACTAGAGTCAGATGTAAACATCAGCAGAATACATAAAGTACTTTTTTAATCCACCTGCTTGGTGTAAGGTATTACTAGAATCGACCTCTCTTCAAGCCTGCATCCAGAAATGTGGATTTTGCTGGTTTATTTAAAATGTCTTAGTGGGGTGCATTGTAATGTTTTTAACCGTAAAAGTGTAAAATTAAACAATCACATCATGGTGTCTCACGACTAGCGCCCAAGGCATTTTTCGCCACCTCTGCTGCCTTCGCTTATCCACCAGGTTATCCCTGGGACATTTCTCTCCAAACTGCTTATCGCTTCTGTTCTATCCTCGTAAACGGTCTTGTATATCTTTTTAATTGTCCAATCTCTCCTCCTTAACTCATAATAATTATCTGAAAATGCCATTTTTTTTTTATGTTACTATGTCGATAGTTTCCTACATGTTTGACAGGCAAGAAGAGAGGCCCTCAGAGCTAGATGAAATCTTGAAAATTGCCAGCTGTTTAGGGCGTCAGTTCCATTATTAGCTCGCGAAGTATCATTTTATCATCCTAAGTATTGATCACTCATCTGACATTCCTTACATATTATAATTTTCGACTTTTTGCTGAGCTGGTTAATAAAAGGTTTTAAAACCAAAATAGCTTTGCTAGAAATCACTGACCACCCACTGACAAGAGCTGAACACAGAACAATATCACAGACAGCATCAGACAATGCAGGAGATATGGACTGAGATGCTATTGTCAGTCCATCACATCAAGAGTGTATTTACACTGAGCTCTAAATTAGCCTTCTCATGCAGATGCTTATAAGTATTTTACGAGCTTAGGACGTTTCCTGTTTTAATTTTATCGATTTTTTTTTCTCGCGATCAAACAATTGTTTATGGTTCCCTCATAGGTCCAAGGTCATACAATCGAGATTATTCGAGACGTAAAGTTCGCTGTTAGTTTATTTCGTAACTTTATTTTTTGTAATTGAACAACTAACACTAAATCGGGAAATGAACTATGCAGTATATATTCGGTTGAGTGTTTAAGTTCTAGTAAGGTGTTTAAGATGTTGCTTTATGAAACAAAAAACTAATTAAGAGTGAAACTTGAGAGTGATATCTAATTCGATAAGATCGTACGTTTCTGTGTGATAAAATCAAAAGAGGGCGAATTTTCTTGAAATGATATTGGGAAATTTTCACTTTTGATCGAACTCTCTTATGTACAGTATTTAAACTATGCTCCGTTTTTTGCCATTAAATGTCCCATAGCAGCAATTCTTCGGTTCTTAATTACAACTTACCTTACTTTTCCTCACATCATTGTACTTGTGACGAGAAACTGTTAGGTTGTAGTTCTTTCAGGTACCATGAAGCTAGAGGTTTTACAAAAGAACGACTGAAAAATTCATGCCATGTATGTTATGGTCACGTCAGAAGCTTATCAAAACTGCTGTTGTCTAACACTGTTATGGAATGTTCTTTTTAAACAACAACTGGTATATTGAAAAACTATTTTCTGGTATTAAATAAACGGTAAATATCTCACAATCTCTTTGTTTGTCTAATAAAAGATATAAGATTACTAAAAGTCATAAAATGTTCTAGCTTATTTTTTTCGCGGTACTTTGGTCACAGTAAAATGTACACGATATGTGTTACGGTGTATGTTTCATTAGTGAAAGGTACTCGGGAGGTTTCAGCAGGTCATTTTGCTTTGCGTGGGAAATAACGAGTTAATGTTTAGATTCCTTGCTTTATATAGCACCAGCCTTAGGAAATGAAATATATTTGAAAGCGTTAATCGCTTCTTTTTCGGGGGGCTGAGAACCATTTACGAGAACATTCAAATCAAACGTGATCAGTAAAGCGTAAAATACAACACCCTTTATAACTTGAAATACATTTTTCAGACTTATATGTTTGATCTTCAAGCCACCATACGCGATAACGTAAACATCTAGCCAAGTTCATTCAATTTAACGCATTTGTTGTCCTATAAGAAAGCCTACAAAAGGTTTTTTTTTCGCACAATAGGGATATTTGCTATACCTGATGTATTAAAATAAGTCATTAGAAAAAACGATTACGGAAAGTTTTTCATTTTTCAAGGTTTTTTGGAGCGGATGAATTTTGTAAACAAAATAAACAAAGAGAACTGTAATTACCTTTTACAAGTTTTTAAATTAGTTCTTACACAAGAGTAATTCGAAGTAATCCTAAGAAATACAAACCAACTATAACATGTTCCTTTACATGTAGTATCTTAGGTCGTGTGTTATTGGGATCAACCGTTTCTAGTTGGTTGGGTTGGTTGGGTTTTTGTCGTGTTCTTTTGGGGAAAACCCGTTTTCGGTTGGTCTGGTTGATCAACTTTTTCAACCGGCCTCAAACCGGGTTGACGCTGTTGAAAAAGCATTTGCGTGATTATGTGGCGTGGTTGTAGCGTTTCAGCCGAAAACGGTTGGAAAAGTGTTCTATTGAGAACCGTCAACCGTATCAACCCAAACCTGTTGCGGTTGAAACGGTTGATCCCAAACGATCTTAGACGCTGTTATTCAGTGTTGACCATCACAAGTAGAGCTACCGTGGGTATGGCTGCTGGATTGGAATTTGGTATTTCTCCTGATCTCTTAAACCATGTAAACCATGTATATTAACATAGGTCTTTGTTGATTTTGAGAATCTCTAGATTAGCTATCGGCAGTACTAGCTACACCGTGCAAAACGAGACTGAAAGACTCCAAAACAGGCAAAATGAATGGTTTCACATTGTACTTTATTGACTGTTTTAAGTGAAAGAACACCTGTTGACCGCTGAATCTCCGTCGCCTCTCGAGTCGTGGGCTCATTTTAGTTTTCAATGAAACTTCACGTGGCCAGAATACCTCAGTTGTCAGTGGCCTTACAATTTTGTTTGTTAACTCGTTATATTGGGTGATCAAACGAATCTGTTAATTGACACGCAAGTTACTATTATATTTACATGTGAATACAGCCTTTCATATTTAAAAATTAAATCTTTGTTTAAACGCCACATGAGAGGATTTTGCGATCAGTTGCCATGTAGTTTGATTGAGAGTTACACGTGACTTTCGATCTTGCATAGCTTTTGTTCTTCGTCTATTCCCGTACCGTCCTTTCTTTCTGATTTCTTGATCCCAGACCGCTTGCAGCAATAAATCTTGTAATCCTCATCCCAGGCTTCAGCCTGCTCCACGGTCTGAGGCATGGGACTGAATAGTGTCTCTGGGAGCCACAATGACAATATTCCAGCGGTTACCCCAAGTACTCCAAAGATAACCAGCGGCAGAGTTTTGTTCAGGTTGGGAAGATCAGCCTCGAGGGTAAGAAAAAGCACGAATTATTAAACTGTTGTCGAAGACAGAGTAGAAAAGGCAAGCTTAACGTAACAGACTATCTCCCTTTTGCGTACCGCTCGTGCTCCATTCTAATGACTTTTTTTACCCTACTGAACTATTGTCTCAAGGAAGGTTTAGTTTGATGTGAACAGAATGCTGACTGCTGCAAACTGAATTGCCGTTATCCGTGCTGCGCTACAAAACAGGCTCCATAACTGATCAATGTCAATTTTCTTACCAGTAGTACAATATATGGTGCGAGTATTGCTCCAATACGGGCCATCATGGATGATACTCCAATACCGACGTTTCTAAAGATATGGGTGGAATAATAAAAATTAAAGGGCGAGGCTATTTTCTTGATGTTACACTAAATAACAAAGTAAGTGATCGTTATATCAAAACAAATACCGGAAACATATTTTTGCATGGTATAAATATATAGCATTCCAGGAGTTACTTTTGGCGGACAATTATTTGGCGCCATATAAACAAGGTCATTTTAGATCAGGCATTGTCGCCCCCACGCTCAGTTAGTCACACAAAATAGGCAAGAGAAGTTGTGTTATCCTGTCACGCACCTGATGACGGTTGGGAATAGCTCAGCAGTGAAGACGTAGATTGTAAGGAAAGTGGACATGATACAAAACTTGCCGATCATGGCCAGAGTTGTGATAACTGGTTGGTATTCTAGAAAGCAACAAAACCTTAAGTTCAAATCAGACACACAAAACACAAAATGCAGTCCCATCGGAATAATGAAAGGAAACAGCGAGTGTTGTTGGATCTGTTCTTGTTTTGGCGCTCACAACAACAGTTAACATGAAAACAGATATGGAAAGTTCAGAGGAAGAAGCAAGACGAGCTCTATCGAGCCACTTGGCTTCTACACTTCGTTAAGTGACATTTCGAGCGTCAGGCGTTTGTCCAGTTCACTCACCCACTTTGTTTGGTACAGCCAACACCAACATACCAGCCGCTCCACCAATCAGCATGAAGGTACAATACGGGATACGGCGGCCAAACCTGGAAACATGTACAGGAGAGTGACTTACTGCACATCGAATTCAAAACAGTACTCATAAGGAAATGATTTTTTTTCTACTTAAATTATGTTGTTTTGGGAAACAATTGTAATTTTAATTCCAGGTTCATGCGACGTCTTTCTGCGCTTATTCCTCTTCAAATGTTTTAGCTGCGAATTTCGGTAAGTTTGTTATGATAAGTGAGCAACACTGCTGTGACAGAAAAAAGCTTGTCAGTAACAGACCAATACTAGAAGTAACTTGCTTTTTGTTTTCCAACAAAGACAAGAAGTCACTCTAAAAGTATCCTGATATTTCGTTTAGTTGTATTAAATGTTGCAGATATTTTCTCTACCTTTGAAGACAGTACCAAGCCAACAGGGCGGCGGGCAGCTCGATGATGATCAGGATAAAGAAGTTCACGTACATGTTTCCAGCGAGATTTTTCACGTTCAAACTCAGTCCAAAGTACACAAGTGCGTTAACAAACCTAGACAGAAAACAATCAACGAAATAAACCAACGTACAACGAAAGTAATTCAACAAGCATGGCGTTCTCTGCGAAGCAAAAGGAATTATCGCTCCATGTTTGCCAGCAACTCACCAATTCAAACAACAGATAATGATTCGCTTTCTCAGTTTCGGAGTCCTGATCAAATCAAATGTCCCGTATTTGCGTGTGTCATCACTCCTGACGTCAGCTTTCCTGACTTCAGAGATCACGTGCTTCAGGTGTTTAGAGTCAACATCGACGCCATTTTTGGCGGCATACTTCATGAGCAGGCTGTGGGCTTCGTCCAGACGATTGTTGGCAAGAAGCCACCGCGGAGACTCTGGTATCCACCTTAGGGAAATCAAAAAACAACTGTTACTAAATGAGGTTACTTTGAGGGTGCATCTCCTGGCAAATATGCCGACAATGAAGACAATGAAGACATTCTGTTAAGCGGACACGACCTGTTTTAAGCGGACACTAACAAGGGTCCCGAGGGTGTCCGCTTTATACAGGTTTGGCTATAGTTGCCTACATTTTGGCACACTTGATGGCATTATTGAACTTTCCAGTGACTAAAATGAAGTGTTTCGCTGCCTTGAATAGGAAAAAGGTGGAATTCTATAAACTGACGGCTTAAAGTGGACAAAGTAGCTACGCAGCGATTTTTGCATCTTTTGTAATCCGTGTCAATCTTCTCCATCCTTAACCATTCTTGTCCCTTATGGATTATTATTATCTCTTTGGTGTTTTTCTATCGTAGTAAACTATTATTTTCAGGTTTCCTTTAATTTAAAGGTAATTTTGTACGTGGCGAAATTAAAATAACACAAAATACCGTGACTGTGACCCTCTAAGTCAAGGAAAGCAGAAATTATGACTTACCACCAAAAAACGAGTAGCAGGGTGCCTGGTAACGACACCGCCAGCATCAAATACCTCCAATCCCGCAAGAGATACGCTAGTAAAGCTAGAATAGCGTAACCAAGCGTCATAAAGATGTTGCTAACAAACCCTGCAGCAGTTCTGTTGGACGTGACTGACAGTTCTAGGCAGTACACGAAACGGCAAAGAAGGCAACCGGCTGCTGCAGCTCCTGCGCCGACACGGAACAAGGCGAAGAGAGAAAGACAGTCTGCCACGGCAGACACAGTGCCACACCCTACCTGGAAAGAGAACCATAGAATACCGTATACTAATACAAATAATGCAATCTGATTGGCTGAGCTATCGTACACTCTATCATTTATTAGTATAAATCTACTAGCGTTCTATCACGAATGCCGTTCTCTGCTGCTTCTTAGCGTTTTCGTGTGACGAGTGTCTGTGACGAGGATTTAGGTTAAGTTTTGAACGACTTGTAGATTTATACTATTCGCTCTTGATTTCTATCGCGCAATAGTTGACTCACTAACTACGCCCTCACTAACTATCACGCGTAATTAAACAATAGAGTGTTCTGTTGAGGAGCTATCGGCTGATAGTTGCCCCGCGGGAATTTGATGTTCTTAAAACAAATATTTGCCCGAGAAGCCAAGCTTCGAGGGCAAATATGCTAGTTTTAAGAACATCAAATTTCCAAGGGGCAACTATCAGACCGATAGTTCCGAGACATAAACATTCTATTGTCTTCATTGTTCACCACCAAATTTTCTTCCGTGCGCCAGTTCAAAAATCATATTGAATAATTTTCACCTTTTTTAGGTGAAAGCCGTGAAAGCCAAATGTAAAATTTGAAAAAGAAAACAAAAACTCTCTTAATACAAATTCAATTGTTTATTTTCTATAAGCCCACTTGTTTACAGAAATATTTCCACGGATGAGTGCTATCCATCCGGGAATTTTCCTCGGACGAGCACTATGGGCTGATAGTGTCTCTCGGCGGATGAACACTATCGCGTCACGTGATCAATTTAAACCAATAAGAATCGGAGAAAATTTAGTGGTGACTTGTAAATAGAAATCTCAAGCTCATAATCTAATTGTTTAACGGCTTGGGTTTGTCCACCAAATCATGGTAACGTTTCCTCGTTTGTCCGAAGGTTATCGTCTTGTAGCGACCACTTTGGTTCCAGACGTTTTCTCTTTTCATTGGAGGGGTTTTCTATTGACTGTCGTAAAAACAAAACCAAAACTAAACCGATTACTTACCAATTAGACTACTCAGCCAATCTCAAACCGTAGTAAACCCAAAACCAAAACCAAAACTAAAGTAACAACCTGATCACTTTACATCCTAAATTGAAAACCGCTGTGTCTCAACTGATCAAATTCACACCCATTTTCTCTAGCTTGCTTTGAAACCGCGTTTTCGTGTCAAGAGAAGAAAGAAGAAAGACAAATCTTTGGGATCAGGGTGTGTAGCGACATTAGAAAACGGAGTAACCTATGAACAGGCTCTCTAGTCGAGGATGGGGCGAAGAGACAGTGGAAAGAAAAAGGAGAGGAGAGAGAGGACGGGACAGACCCAACAACCCCAACCCAACCCCCTCCCCCCTCGGCCACTTCAATCTTAGCCAGTCCCCTCTCCCCCCTTCCAGCCACAGTCACACCCTTCCAGCCGGAGCCTGTTTACAGGCTAAAAACTTAGGAGGTGAATACCATGTGACGAGACCAAGGAGGATATCCAAATTTGCACATATATATATTCCCAATAGGGTTTTATTAAAAGGAACGATAACAGGAACCGTTCATTCGGAGTTCAAGCATGAAACTGAATAAGAGTGCGATGTTTTAAACGTACCATTCAGCTTTCACACCAGTCTCATACAGATATTAAACTAATCAGCAGTTAAAATTTAGGTTCCTCAAGACAAAATAAAATTTATGTGTCATATCTACCCTAGCCCTGGTCTTTGAGGTTTTCAGTTTCTTCTATACTAATAGAAATTATTTTAAAATTGAACGCGGTTCTTGAGTTCAAAACACCTGGCGGCGAATCATTGCCGCAGAAGAAGTATCACGTGTAAGGTGCGTAATAAGGCGAATACTAGCAATGGGAGCTGTGTTTTTGTTTATCTCGCGTTCCATTTTCTCGCGTTCAAAGGCTTTGCATGAGACATCAGATGACTCACTGGAAGAATTAATTGTTTTTCAGCAATTATACTTACCAGGAAGGCGATACTAAGGAAAACAGCGATTCTTCGACCGAAGTGATCGGAGATGCTGCTAAAGGAATAGGAGCCAATAAGCAGGCCCGCCAAGTATGAAGCTTGAGTCAACGCCTTCAGATGATTTCTGTCGCAGATCAGTTCCCACTGGAAAACAACAACAACAAAACCACGAAACAAAAATGAAAAGGGCCGGTGCTAATCAACGAGAAAGTGAAGAGTTAACGAAAAGGAAAGAGAGCTTAGAACCATAACTCTCCCTCTAGTTTGATTGCCAACTCTTGTTTGCTCTCTCGTGACATCTTAATTAAAGACGTTCCTTGGAAACCCCGGTATGCGCTTACATAAGAAGAATGTTGAATAACTGGCTGAATACAGCAATTGATAAACAGTGCGAGCATATCCACTTTGTGAGAGAGCGAATAATTACCAACCAATCTATTACTCCTATTGTCTTTCCCCCCAATTTTTCTAAACTGACCAAAGCCCTTCGTCAACCCCTAGCGTCGTTCTAACCTCGGTATTTTTTAATAGTTTTTCTTTCTTATCCCCAAGGTTGGGTAGGAAAATGACAGAAACCTAATTTACTCTTCATCCAAAGTATATGTGGTAGGTTTCTTGGCTTTCTGTGTGAGCTTTTAAGCCGGGCTTTTAAGTCGCATTGAAGCGAATATTAGGTTACATTTCGAGGTTCAGATGTATGTTCCAACACTGACCCCAGGGCCGCGATCACAGTATTATATCTTAAGAGACGGCGCCTAAAACCCAATATTATAAAGGGCTTACACACGTGCAATCCTACAACGAAATTAATTCATAATAAAACTGATATCTTACCTCGGACACTGCACTGGTAAATTCACCGTTGAATTCATATTTGGTGCAATTACCACAACACTGATTATTGGGGCATATCGAAGTATTACTGGCTGTAGTCGAGGCAGTACATTGAAATGACGGAGAAGCGCCGTAAAAAACCAGCACAAGTTGTTGAAGACCGATGGGCACTGTCATCAAACACATAAAAGCGTACAACATCATCGGATACCGACCGAATCCGCCGACTAAACGAAGCAAGTCGTCGAATTCGTAGGTTTTCTTTGACGATTCGTTTGTATTAAAATCATTTATATTATCTGGCTTGCTACTGTCTTGGGTACCTTCCATGTTGATTAAAATCAATTACTTCAGGCAAAATAATCAGTTAATGAGGTCTTTCCTTGAGACGCTGAATGTGAGTGATTGACTTTCACTATCCGCGAGCCTCCGCCACATTCAGACTAAAGCAATATACTTTTACGTCAGTCAGTAATCGGAACTAACAGTATTTCAACACTGGCTCGTCAAATATGATTGACATGTGGCAGTAGTATAATTGCGAACCAGCTGATTTTGATAAGAGATGAAAAGAAAAGATGTTCTTGTGACATACACATAGAAACTGAAATGTGGCGGGTATTTGCAATTGGTAATTTTGGCTGAACTTCAAAGATGGTTAGAAAATGCCGAAAAGTATTCTTAGTGCGCGGATGAGCAACTCTTGGAAAAGAGCCATTGTAATACTGAATTTTATTGGACTAGTTTTTTCCGGTTCTCATTGAGAAAAATCGGACTGCTTTTTTCGCAAGTTGTTCGGTCTGTTTCATATAAACAGATGAAGGAACTCTTCCACGGGGTTAAGGGTAGGGTAGGGGAACTTCCGTTGGTAGGCCTGTCCCGATTGTGCTCGTAAAATGCTGGAAAGTTGCTCACTGGAATGCCAAAAAGTTGCTAAAAAATTGCCAAAAATCCAAAAAGTTGCTACCAAAATTTCAAAAGTTGCTGCCTAAATTTCTTGC